CTGGTTAGGGTGCCACAGAAGGCACCTTAGCATATTTGCTGCTGATACTAGTTACTCCAGGTTTGGCAAAATTCTGAAATTCATTTACTCACCAAATATGTAAGTGATGTTCCAAGCATTCTATTAATCGTTGCAAGAGATTCAAAGATGAGCCCGGCGCCGTGGCTCACGCCTGTAATCTCAGCACTTTGGGAGGTCGAGGCGGGCAGATCACGAGGTCAGGAGATCGAGACAATCCTAACACGGTGAAACCTCGTCTCTACTAAAAATACAAAACATTAGCCAGGCATCGTGGCGGGCGCCTGTAGTCCCAGCTACTCAGGAGCCTGAGGCAGGATAATGGTGTGAACCCAGGAGGCGGAGCTTACAGTGAGCTGAGATCGTGCCACTACACTCTGACCTGAGTGACAGAATGAGACACTGTCTCAGGGAAAAAAAAAAAAAAGATTCAAAGATGAAATAAATATAATACTCATCGTTTCTATCAGTTGTTTAGATAGAAGTCATTTTCATTAGAATATTTTATATAAAATCAAATTGCTGTTATGAGAGATGTACAGATACTGTGGGAAGGGAAAATTTCATGGATGAAACATTTGAAGAATGGATGTTTGTGCAAAAATAAGGAGAAAAAGGTATTTAGAAAGAGAAAACTACAGGAGATAGAAAACATATTGGTAATATGCATGATCTAGTTTGGTTAGAATTAAAGTAGTTAGGTTCTGTTCATGAGGACTGAACTGAGAAATACGGGCTTTGTCCTACAGGCTGTCATGGAAAGTTTCTCAGAAAGGATATGATAATCAGAACGCTTTGCTTTTAAATTTTTTCTCTGTCAATATTGTAAATCAAGTGTATTTCCAAGAGAAAAGACAAAAGTTTGAGAAAACAGTTACTACAGTAGTTTAAGCTCAAGACAAATCAATATCTGAAATAGGCAAGGGGTAATGGGAATAAAAATGTGAGTACAGGATTTATAAGAGCAGCAGAATATTGGATGTTGCTACTAATAAGATGTTGGAAATGAGATTTTTGACTGTTTGATTTGGGGGATGGTGATGCCATTCAAAGTATCAATAGATTTAGCAAAGAAAATAATGATATCTAAACATCATTTTTGTATCAGTTAATGCTATTTAGTTATGTTATCTATGAGAGAACTATGGGTTTAATTTCATATTTCTTTTTGGCTGTTGATATACTAAAGGTAAAACCTTCAGTTTGGGCTGAAAAGTCTATAACACTAATTATAATTAGTTAACCCAGCAGACAAACAGCCAAAAAGCAAAGGTAGGTAGATGTTCTTGAGTGGTTTGGTGAAATACTGGTGTGGGTTGTCTTTAGAGATACGACGTCACTAAGTGTGGCATCCAACAAAAATGCTGTGCTCTTTTAGGATTTAAAAAAACATCAGCTGGTTTCTGTGTTGAATTTTAAGCAGTATTTTAAAGGAATTTTCAAATCTTTTTGTAAATTAAAGAGTCTTTTTGAATATTCTTGGTTAAATACCATGTAATTTACTTATACACTGTACCTATATACTTAGACCTGATATTTTTCTGTTTGATTGAAGTACGGCATATCTACTTACAGCATTGTTTTGTAGACTGAATTATGAATACAGGAAAGTTTTCGTATCTTAGAAACCTAGAAGATAATATACATCATCCCTACCTGTTAATGATATTCTGATAATCCAAGTTATTTATCAGAAGCTTACAGTAATTTTTTTAATCTGTCTGTGCATTGGGCTATCAAATTCTGTTTAATGCAAAATTTTGATTTTGTTCTAAGTATACATTCAAATGCTTTTGGTAATATCTGCCAAATTGAATGTTGATCTGAATGGTTTATTTGCAGGGAGGGGTACAATTTATTCCAAGACGGGGTAAGATATATAATGTACGGTCACCATATGCCAAAGAAAATTCATATGTTTACTGGAATGTATCCTGTAGTGCATTCATAGTAGTAAACATCCGTATTCAAACATGTGGTGAAGTGACTGCTACAATAACTGGATGCTTTTATGCTTTCATAACTATTATTATTCCAGTCTAGAGATTTCATTTTAATAACTGCTGACTTCTGTAATGATGTTTTTTATCTTTTAACTCTTTCAAGTATGTCATCAAAAATTCTCATTTCCTATGAACCCTGAAAGTTAAAAATTAGTATTTATAGATACTATTGCCACTTTTGCCAAAACCTAACCAAAAATTGTAATGTCATTGTTGGGATTGCAATATCATGATATATATGTGATTGGGGCTAATCGCCCCATAAATACTTTGGCTACTATTTCCTTAATAGTAGTATTTTCTCTGAACTGGGTTCTTTGAAGCTGTAGCTTTTTAAATTCTTCGTTTATAAAATAGCATAGTGTCTGACTATTGAATATTATACTCATTATAGAACCTCTTTAAGTGTGGTTATTTTTTACCCCCTATCTGTGTTTATATAATGAGAAATGCCTTTTTAAAATGTAAAACATTAGTGTAGAGGGTTGAGATTTTTATCTATATTAGACAGAAAGCAATAAAGTGATAGTCATACTTCTAAAATATGTAGTGTTGCATGTTCATCTCTAACCCTACCTTTGTGTGAAGGTCCTGTGTATACTTGTTTTCCACTGTAATATAGTGAAATAAAACCAAAGTTCTTAGAGCATGGAAAAATGTGCTTATCTCAACATATTCTCCATCATTTCTCTTTACTTGCCAGATTTTACTCATGACTGATGACAGTCAACTATGGTTATTCAGTCACCGTATGTCAAAAATTTTCTTCTATTTCCCTCTTTCTTTATTCTTCCTAATACAAAATAGACAGAAATCTGTTCCTGGCTCAGTTTCCAAATACCTCATATTTTATTCTGATTATGAAGGACTCAACAAGTGAAAAAAGTATCCATCTGCCTAGATTTACAATATAATCTGACCACCTCTCAAATGTCTAGAAGTTGCCTAAAGCAGTTCTATTTCATCTAATGCTGTATGTGTCACATGAGAAATTGTATTGTAGGCAATGTAAGTAATTTCCAAGGAAAAAAGAAAAGATTTCTAAATAACCAAAGTTGTCTTCATTGTCTGACTTATTTAAACAACAGGCTATTCATTGTAAATACACTTATTTATAACTAGGCCAATCTCATTCTCCTCTGTTGTTTGCCAATAATGCATTCACCTCTGCTGTTTGCCAGTAATGATAGAAAATTTAGAGGTTTAACCACCATGTCGAAAGACCTTCATGCTTACCCAGTCATTTTTGTGCTAGAAGTTTCATGATAAGAGTGTTCTTGGATGAGTGTTCTTAGATATTATCCAAGACTTTTTGGTTGAAGTAGATTAAGAATAAGGAAAGCGTGGTTTAAAACTCTGTTTCTTTTATGCCTTATTTTCCAAACTGTAGCCTAAAAAAGGTTTGGAATCATTTTGTATTTTGAAAAACTTTTTCAAAAAAGACTCTGTTGCCGTTATATTTTGTGAAGCATTTTAATATTTAATCTAGATTTTAACAAATAAATCACAAGGATAATATGATAATAACTTTATGACATACTTCTAGTAACTGAAAGGAGTTTAGATTAAAATCTTTAAAGGCACATAATAAATAGGTGATATTGAACCTACAAAATCACCTTAATATTTATCTGTGATTATAGATATAGTTACTAGATATGGTTATTTAGATATAGATAGGTACTTTTCTAACCAAATACAGTAGTCACTAAATTTATCTATTAAACAGTTCTTCTTTTAGAGTCAGAGTCTTCTAATTTTCTAATAAGTGGCTGAACAAATTTTATGGAAGAGGCCCTTAAACGTGACTTTGCATGTAACGCTTAACACAGTCTGAGCATTATCTTTTATGTCTTTTATTTCCGATTTTCAAAGGAGAGAATCTCATTGGCTCGGCCTGCATCATATATCCATCATCACCCTCCCCTCCACCATCCGGTCAGTCATGGTTATAGCAGGATCATCTGATACCAATATGACAGCCTAGACTCACCCTTTCCTCAGGGTCAATGGCTGGTGCTCTTCCAAACAAGAAAACAGCAGGTGGGCAGGCAACCCAAACATGTCTGCTACAGCATTTGACCAGGATAGATTTGTATTGCTTTTGCTACTTTAAACACACTAAAAAAGAGAAGATGTTCATGGTTGGTAAAGGTTGTTTGATAAATATGGAAACACTCTCTGGCAACTGATTCAGGCCTGGACAGATATAGATATAGGTGCTGAGAATACATGAGTTGTTAGGTTCTTAGTTTGTGTTATAAAAAATTTTCATTTTAAAAAGTAGATCTTTACTGAAAATAAAGTACTTTCAGTTTTTTTTTAAAAAGTACCATCAGAGTAATTATATTCTGAGAGAAAAGTCATGACTCTTCAGGAAAACTACAGTTGGGAATATTGAATAATTAGAAATGTTTGAAAAACTAATGCTGATGAATTTCAAAGGTAATCTATGCATGATCATAAATTCTCTTCCCATTCTAGAAAATGTCAACTAAACAATGTCCACTGGAATGTTAATGTTGATTCTCTCTCCTTTCATTTTTCAGAACTTATTTATGGTTCTTTCTCTCACTATTAATGTCATATTCTTGTCTTTAAAAGAAATGATGAAGCAGCAGCTGACTAGAAAATTTAAATTGTAAGATATGTAGTCCATCTCCACTATCTCCACTCATTATAGAACCTCTTTAAATATGGTTATTGTTTACCCCATATCTGTGTTTATGTAATGAGAAATGCTTTTGATGTAAAATCCTTTTACATCTTTGGCTAGTCATCTTCCTTTCTCTCTTCTACTTCATTTTCAAATTTAATTTTTTTTTTCTCTTGGAGGTGCCTTATTTCATTTAGATAAATACACATATGAGCTGGAAGATGTTTAATACTCTCTTCTGGGAGTCACTTAGCTCTGTGAGTTTCCCTCAGACACTCATGATTGCACACAAATAAATGTTTTCCTTAAACTTTCCTTCTCAGCTTTATTCGTGGTCACATTTCAGGAAGCATCAACATTCCATTCAGTGCTGCCTTCACTGCAGAAGGGGAGCTTACCCAGGGCCCTTACACTGCTATGCTGCAGAACTTCAAAGGGAAGGTCATTGTCATCGTGGGGCATGTGGCAAAGCACACAGCTGAGGTAATTATATTCAGAAATGTCATATGTACATATGAGTGATTTACCTGCCTTCAATGTGAAGGTTATCTAAAAGTATATTTCTTCAGGAGTTGGTCACAAATAATATGAGTTTTGAAGATTTGTCTGTGTTATTATGGAAGAGTTTGTCTGTAATTGAAGCATTTTTCCCTCAGTGTTCAGCATCAGGATCAACAGTAACCTTAAAAAATCAAAATGATAACCTAAGGCTGTTTTTTTCTGACTGCTTTCTGAAATTGCAAAGAAGTAGCTTGAATTCCATCCATTGGAGAAAAACAGTAGTGTTCAAGTGTAGGCTCTGAGAGCTGGTCACGATGAGATTCGTTAGATTTAGAAATTGTGTTTACTATAGAGTCAAAGCTTCTTGATGATAGAATTCAGGAAGAATGTCAACTGTCAGACATGAGAAATACATGAAACAATAAAATGGCTTCCTTCTTCCATGGCTATGTTCTAAGCAAATTGAAAAATAAAACAAAGAGTAGCATATGAAGGCCAAAAATATATTTATTTTTTAATAAAAGACAAATTGAAGACTGTAGCTTAGTATGAGAGCCAAATGGGCTTACTTAAAAACAAGCAGGCAGAGAAGGTATCTAAATATAGGCAGTGTTGAACAAGTACAGGATCTTTCTCTAAAGGGGAAGAATCTGCTCCTAGAAAAATAGAGGTAACTTGCTCCTTGCAGACAGCTTTTTTCTAAAAGGAAGATAAATAGGACTGAACCTTCCTAAATTTACCAGTCAAATAAATCCTTCAACCTCCTAGGGCAGAGAGAATAGAGGGACAAAAAGAAAGGCCAGGAATATGCTTAGGAAAATTCTGTCATCAGGGAAATCAGGAGTAGAGACAAAATATTTGCCTTGATTGTACATATTCCTTTGAACACTACTGAAATGTGGTCACTGAAAATTTCAGATTAGAACTTTAAAACTTTATTTTTTTTTTACTCTTAGAGATCAGAGAAATAACCTAAAATCTCTTTTATTATAAAAACTAATAACCACACTTTTTTGAACACTTGGAAAATATAGAGACCAAAAAAGGAAATAAAAAGTATGCATGATTTTACCACCTGGGAGGCAAAAAACACTTCTTGAATTTTTTTACTGGAAAATTATAATTCCTCCATTCAACTCAATTCTAAAATTAGCTAAAGATAACCCTCCTATCCCCACCTGCACACACCCAGTACTGATACAAACTCAGAAAAAAAGGAAACATGAAAATACTTTGCTCTTTTATTCCTAGAGCAAGTGTGTATGAAGTTCATGAAAACGACATATAAAGGTTACATTTAGAGAACTATGCCATATGATTTCATAGTAAGGAACTAGGTTATTGATTTTTCCAAATTTAATGCCTTCACTATAATTTTTAAGTCCTTTAAGTTTTTGCTTTTCATAGAGCAAAATCGAGAGGAATAGAAATTTCCCATATACCCACTACCCCACACATGCACAACCTTTCCCGTTATCAACCTCCCCCATCAGAGTGGTACATTTGGTACAATTGATGAACCTTCATAGACACATCATTGTCATCCAAAGTCCACAGTTTACATCAGGTCTCACTCTTGGTGTTGTATATTATTTTTAATTCGTAATAAATTTTTATTAACTTTTATTTTGGGTTCAGGGGTACATGTGCAGGTATGTTATATAGGTAAACTCATGTCACAGGTGTTTGTTGTACAGCTTATTTTATCACCAGGGTACTAAGCCTAGTACCCAATAGTTATTTTTTCTGCTTCTCTTCCTCCTCCCACCCTCCACTCTCAAATAGGGCCCAGTGTCTGTTTTACCATCTTTGTTAGAAATTTAAAACTTTAAAAGTCAGATTAGAACTTTAAGACTTCTTGTCATAAACCATTTTAAGCATCCAACAATCTATGTCTCAGAAGTACAGGACTGATGGCAGTATTAACTTTTTTTTTTTTTCTTTTCTGAGATGAAGTCTCGCCCTGTCACCCAGGCTGGAGTGCAGTGACACAATCTTAGCTCACTGCAAGCTCTGCCTCCTGGATTCATGCCATTCTCCTGCCTCAGCCTCCTGAGTAGCTGGGACTAGAGGTGCCCGCCACCACGCCTGGCTAATTTTTTGTATTAGTAGAGACGAGATTTCACCGTGTTAGCCAGGATGGTCTCAATCTCCTGACCTCATGATCTGCCCGCCTCGGCCTCCCAAAGTGCTGGGATTATAGGCGTGAGCCTCCACACCCGGCCAGCATTAACTTTTGACACTAAATGTTCACTAAATGAAAGTCATTCTTAATGATGAAACTTAACTAACCATACTAAAGTTAGTTCATACTAAAGAAGTATGCAAGTGGATATTACTTCTAAGTTATAAATAACTCACCTATCTTTTATATAGATTATATATAAAAGTTATATATAATAGTTATATATAACTATTTCTACCATCCAACAACAGAGACCAATCTAAATACACCTATTTCAGAGAAAGTCAGACTAGTAATTCATATGATTTGGCTATTTGTCCCCTCCAAATCTCATGTTGAAATATTATCTCCAATGTTGGAGGCTGGCCTGGTGGGAGGTGTTTGGATCATGGGGGCAGATCCCTCATGAATGGCTTGATGTCCTCTCCATGGTAATAAGTGAGTTCTCACTGTGTTAGTTCACATGAGAGCTGGTTGTTTAAAAGGCTGGCTCTTCCTCCTTTCTCTTGTTCCTGCTCATGCCATGTGACATGCTGACTCCCTGTTACCTTCCACCATGATTGTAAGGTTTGTGAGACTTCATCAGAGATAGATGTCAGCACCATGCTTTCTGTAAAACCTGTAAAACTGAGAGCCAATTAACCATCTTTTTTTAATATATTATCCAGTCTCAGGTATTTCTTTATAGCAACACAAGAATAAACTAACACAGATAATTGGTACCAGGAATGGGGTGTTGCTATTAAATACCTGAAAATGTGGCAACAGCTTTGGAACCAGGTAATGAGCAGAGGTTGAAAGAATTTGGAAGGCTCAGAAGACAGGAAAATGAGAAAAAGTTTGAAACTTCTTAGAGACTGAGTAAATGGTTATATCCAAAATGCACATAGAGATATGGACAATGAAGTCCAGGCTGATTAAGTCTTAGGTGGAAATCAGAGAGTTATCGGGAACTGGAGTAAAGATTACCCATGTTAAACCCTGGCAAAGAACTTGACAGCAGTGTGTTTATGTCATAGGGATCTGAGAAGTTTGAACTTAATTATGGTGACAAGATACCTGGCAGGAAAAAAAAAAAGTCTAAGCAGCAAAGCATTCAAGAAGTGGTATGGCTGCTTCTAACACCCTAAATTATATATGGAAGCAAATAAAAGACTTAAAGTTATATTTAAAAGGACAGCAGAGCATAAAAATTTAGAAAACTTGTAGCCCAGCCCTATGGTAGAAAAAAATCCAAGCAGGCTACTGAGCAATCATTTGCTAGAGAGATTAGCATGACTAAAAAGGAGCCAAGACAATGGGTAAAAGGCCTTGAAGGCATTTCAGAGTTCTTGGGGACAGCCCTTCTCATCACAGGCCCAGAGGCCTAGGGAAGAAGAATGGTTTCGGGGGTCAGGCCCAGGACCCCACCTCCCTGCACAGCCTCAGGACAGTGCTCCCTGCATCCGACCACTCAGGCTCCAGCCGCAGCTCAATGGGCCAAGGTAAAGCTCAGGCTGCCACCCTGGAGGGAGCAAGCCATAATCCTTGGCAGCTTTCATGTGATGTTCAGCCTGCAGATGCACAGAATGCAAATGTGAAGGAAGCTTGGCAACTCCCAAATGGATTCCAGAGCATATATGGGGAAGTCTGGATACCCAGGAAGAAGCCTACTACAGGAGCAGAGCCCCCACAGAGAAACTATACTAGGGCAGTGCCAATGGGAAATGTAGAGTGGGAACCCCTGCAGAGTCCCCACCAGGGAACCGTCTAGGGGAGCTTTGGGAAGTGGGATGCCACCCTCCAGACCTGAGACTGGTAGAGCCATTGGCAGCTTGCAGCCACAGTGTGGAAAAGCCATAGGTACTCAACTCCAACCTGTGAGAGCAGCCACAGGGGTTGCATCTTGGAAAGCCACAGGGACAAACCTGTCCAAGGCCTTCATAGCCTACATCTCACACCATTGTGCCCAGGATGTAGGACATGATATCAAAGGAGATTGTTTTGGAGCTTTAAGATTTAATGACTGTCCTGCTGAGTTTCAGACTTGTATGGGCATATTGCCTCTCTTTTGGCCAATTTCTCCCTTTTCAAGTGATAATGTATACCCAATATCTGTAGCACCATTGTATATTGGGAGTAAATAACTTGTTTTTGATCTCACAGGCTCATAGGATCAATGGATTCATCTCCAGATGATGCTTGAGACTTGACAATTGGGACTTGAGACTTGAGTTAATGCTGAAGCAAGTTAAGACTTTGGTTGACTATTGCAAAGACATGGTTGTATTCTGATGTGTGAGGAGGACATGAATTTAGGGGGATCAGAGGCAGAATGATGTGGTTTGGATGTTTGTCCCCTCCAAATCTCATTTCAAATGTAATCCCTAATGTTCAATGTGGGGCCTGGTAGGAGGTGTTTGGATCATGGGGGAAGATCCCTCATGAATGGTTTGGTGCCCTCCCAATGGTAATAAGTGAGTTCTTGCTCTGCTAATTCATGTGAGAGTTGTTATGAGAGTTGATGGTTTAAAGAAGCCTGACTCCTCCTCTCTCTCTTGTTCCCACTCTTGCCATGTGACATGTTAGCTCCCTATTGCCTTCTGTAAGGACTGTAAGCTTCCTGAGGCCTCACCAGAAGACGCTGGCACCACACTTCCTGTAAAGCCTACAGAATCATGAGCCAATTAAACCTCTTTTTCTTATTTCTTCTAAAAAAAAAAAAAAAAAAGATATGTGTACAGAACATGCAGGTTTCTTACATAGGTATATGTGTGCCATGGTGGTTTACTGGACCTATTGACCTGTCCTCTAAGAT